ACGCCGAGCCCGGGCCGGTTTGCGGGGCGGCCCCAGGCGAGGGCTCCCGCCCGCGCTGCGGCGCTGGAGGTGGCACCGGGTGTTGTGGAGGCAGAAGCCCGCGGCCAGGGGGTGGCACACGCGCTCGGTTCTCGGGCCCTGGGGAGCAGCGCTGAGCTGCGGCTGCATCGGGATCTCGCTGCTCCTTGCTAAAGGCAGACGATGAGCACTACATCCCGCGGGCCGTGCTGCTGGACCTGGAGCCCCGAGTGATCCACTCCATCCTGAACTCCCCGTATGCCAACCTCTACAACCCGGAAAACATCTACCTGTCCGAGCACGGAGGGGGAGCTGGGAACAACTGGGCCAGTGGCTTCTCCCAGGTATCGGCTCTCGTGCTCTTGCGCGGGAGCGTGGGCCAGCTCGGTAGGCGTGAGGCTCTCGTGGCTGTGTCACGTCAGGCTCAGTGCGTGATTTCTGGAGAGTTCCTGCTCATTCAGCAGGGACTTTGTGTCACCCCGGGCGCAGAGTCACGTTGCCAGTCTGACTTGGCTTCGCACCAGGCTTGAGGAGCTCTTCCCCATTTTCTGTGGGAAAGGAACAAATCCTGGTGTGGTCTCTCTCGCAGGGAGAAAAAATCCACGAAGATATTTTTGACATAATAGACAGAGAGGCTGATGGGAGCGACAGTTTGGAAGTAAGTAAACCAGGGGATTTGGATCTGGTTGCCATGCTTGGCGTTCTCCAAGCCAGGCTGCTCTTCTATAAGGTCACTCTCAGCCCTCTGGCGTACACAGATTTCCTCAGCTTGCTTCTGGGTGCTGAGCAGAGAACACGCAGAGAGGGGAACCAGGGAAAGGAAGCCTTTCCCATCAGTGCCACATCTGCCAGCCTTCCCCAGAAATCTTCTCACTCCTTGCACAGTGGGGTGTTGTTCTGCCCCCAGTACTGTTTGCACTGGGCACTTCCCGCAGGACAGGGTCTGCAGGAAGAGTTCCAGGCATTACGGTGCCTGTTCCCCCGTTCCACCCCCCTCCCCGGCTCTGCCCCGCGTCGGCCGAAGCAGGACACGCGCTGCTTGTCCTCCAGCAAAGGCCCTCGCGGGCGGGGAGGGCTCTGCTGGGACGAGGCTCAGGCTGCCAGCAGGAAGGTGTTTAGACCCCGAGCTGCTGAGTGCTTTGAAATCCACAGAGCCAGCGCAGGCAGCCGCAGCTCCGTTTTGTCTGCAGCTGGGTTAAAGGGGCACCAGGGTACCCGCAGCACTTCGGCTGCTTCGCCGTGTCCTCTGGCAGGACTTTGGTCCGTGTAAACCCGTTTCCTGTGTGCAGACAGACAGGGCTCCCTGGTGTTTGTGTCAGGCTGTCACATGGCAACCGGGGAGGGGAGAATGGCATCGTAAAATAGTCTGGCAGGAGATCCAAGAGCATCTAGTGCTACCTGCAGCAGCTGGGAACTGCCCTGAAGTCGGGTAGAGGGAGCTTGGCCTTGGGCTCTCTAGAGGGAGGGGAGCAGTGTCGAGGGCCCGGGGAAGGGGCTGAGAACATGAGCCTCCATTTTGTGTGGCTGACTGGACCCTGAGGGTGACGTTGGAGCAATTCTGAAGCTGTTCTGGGGCGGGAGGAATCCCGGAGGCTCCTGAGCACCAGTTGCACTCTGTGGTGCGTGCGGAGATGTGGATTCCTGCCCCGCTGGCAGGAGGGGCCTGGTGAGCCTGTGGCTGTCGCTGTGGTCAGGAGGAGCCCGGCAAACCTCCGCTCTGTCCTCTCAGTCCTGACGGAGGCGGGGGGGTCTCGGGGTGGGGGCACAGTGTGCTGGGGGCTGAGCTGGACCCTGAGCCACCCGCGTTCTGCTTCCTTCCAGGGGTTTGTGCTTTGCCACTCCATCGCTGGTGGGACGGGCTCGGGGCTGGGCTCCTACCTCCTGGAGAGGCTGAATGACAGGTGAGCCTTCAGCCTCGTCCCCTTCCCTCACCGCGGCATCTGGCCGGGCCGGGCACCCTGCCAGAGCGGAGAGCGCTGACTCAGAGCCGCCGCCCCCACCCAAACACTCTCTTGTGCAATCGCTGGCACGCTGCCCGGGGACGGGATGGCTCCTGATACGCCTGGGGACTTCAGAGGCTCTGAAACTGGACTTGTGTGTCCTACCCCTCCTGCCCTCAGCCACTCTTATCAGGCAGTTGCCTTCCGACACCCTGACGGCGCGGGGGGGGG